GAGAGAGAGAGAGAGAGAGAGAGAGAGAGAGAGAGAGAGAGAGCTGACAGTGGATTCTTGGGCATGACTACCATCAGGCGCGGCCGTAAACTGTTTACCTTACCTCATCATTCCCCTCTCTCCCCCTCCCCCAGCTCCCCCCTGGTGGGCTGCTGCCAGACTGTATCTACGTCAGTAAGATTGATACTGACTCTAATTTCTACTCATTGATACGCAGGGGTAGAAATTAAATTTTGAACACGGGAGTCCAACGCTCAAACTCAAAAAGAGGGAGTCCCTGGAAAAATGAGGGAGTCCGCAGTCTGAGGGTCAAAATTAAAGATATTAATGCATGTGCTTATTTTTAAGATTCATGCAGTTGCACGTCTGCCAAATTTTCTTTGGACATTAGCTGAAAAAATACGGTAATTCCGTGAAGCCGTGCTCCGGAACGAACTAGTCAGTATGGCAGAATTTTCATGGAGTCACACGGACTCCTGCATATGTCAAATCAGGGAGTCCGACAGTAAATCAGGGATTACTTGACTCCGGACTCCCGTTAATTTCGCACTCTGGATACGTGTATTGTTGAGATTCGTTTTGGAATACATCGATACATCAATGAATCGTTCCGCCATTGCCAGATACTCCCGATGAAGAGTGACAAGTCGTCTGCGAATGCGGCGGCGGCGGCGGCGAGCAAGACGCCCCCTGGTGGCAGCGACGGCGGCCGAGCGCTTACGTGTCTAATCAACGCGAAGGACATCGTCATGTACAGCAAGCTGGGCGACGGGTCGTTCGGCGTCGTCAACAAGGGAGACTGGACGACGCCGGCACGACGCAAGGTTAGTGGCGCCCCTAGCCCGCGCGGCGGATTTGCCGACAGGCCGGTGACGCGAGTCTTCAACCGGACTGTCGTAGGGGTGGGGGGTGTGGTGTTCAGATGTGGGAATAGCATCCTGTTGAGTTTATTAATTGAAGCTTAATTGATGGTGATATTACTGTTAGTTACGATTAATTATGACGATCAGGGGCCGGTTTCACGAAGCGTACTTAACTCAAGTATGATTAAATCACTAATCATACTTAACTTCCCGTAATTATGATTAGTTAATCATACGTAAAAATCTGTTTCACGAAGCGATTTAAGTACATATTTAACTAATCACATAATTAGCCGACTTCAACATGAATAGACTGGTACTCGCTCCCCTCTCGGCTTCCCATCGAGTAATCGAGGTGGGAGCGAGTACCAGTCTAAAACAAATTACACTGTATTCAATATGGCGGACCAATACGCCAAAAATATCTGCAAGTTTGGTACATGAAAAGGAATTGATTTGTAACTATATGAAGTAGTACAGCAAATCTTAGATAATTTAAATTTCCTTGGGAAAAAATTGAAGTAAAATTTCCAATTGTAAAATCTGCAGCGTACTTAATATACT